CAAGTGACTGTTTGTTCCATGACGGTAGTGCGCGGTCCGTGTACTCTCAAGATAGAATTTTTTAGAAATTCATCATCACAAAAATTTGAAAAATTATTTCTGAGTTAAAAATGCATCTATTTTTTTTAATTTATAATATTTGAAAGCGCAATTCAAGAATCTCCATAAGTTTTCTTATATTTAACAAAAAATAAGAAAATCTCTCGGAGTCAAATTACATTTGTTATGAACATTTTAAGCAGGGACGTAATTTCAATTTTTTCCAGGTGTGCGAACTTTTATGTACAAACCTATGTGGCTATGTAAATATTCTTTCCTTCCCTTTTTTTAATTCTAATTGAAATTATTTATAACAACTAATGCAACTTTTAAATAGCTAGCAATTCAAAGAGTTAAAAGTTTATAACTTATAAGTTATAAGCAATTAAAGCAACGAGCTAAAGCCATTTCACTATTATTAGAAAAAAAGGTATAATTAATAATGAAATATTCTTATTAATTCCAAAATTAAACATCATGTATACAAAATATAAAAATATTAGTTATTTTAAAATTTAAATAAGTGCATATCGACGGGTTTTAATGTGTGCAAAAATATTTACAGCCTCTTGTAAATCAATATTATATACTTGCTTCTCCATTCTCAACTGCAATAATCATCACATCTTTCGTAGCCCATGGTGATTCGTGAATATGTTTTTTACTCTTTTGTGGGATAAAAAAATCTTTCATTTGGAGCAGTGGACATTGGTTATATTTTTATTATAGAAATCATATCAATTATAACGCCCCATTGGAGTATTAATGGCGGGCCAATTGCTAACATTTTTTAAGTTAGTGGTTCTGTCRCCCCCCAAATGACGCATTGACTAAAAATACAACRCTAAGTTTTCCTTCAAATAGCTATAGATAAAATTCGAAGCTTCATTWTAGGAAAAATTTTAAGTGCGTTTTATCTACATCGTGGTGATCACCAACACCGAGTCTTATCAAAACTCCTTATCACATAGACAATTTTTGTTTTTCAACCAACAATTCATTTTTTTTGTTAAAAAATAAACTACGACATTATCGTTTTCAGCCAACACCAACCACTCACAGCGAGTCTCACGGACCCCCGAGTTTCAGGACAGCGAGTTTCCGATGGCAGCTATACTATCATAAAACATATAAATTATAAGTCATAAGTCCATAGTTACTTATCGATTGGGAAGTCCGTATAGTCCCTAATATTTTTATCGAAAATATCCATCTGGTCTGCTTTACACTGCGTATTCCGTCGCTTGTCCGTCGAACTAAAAATGCATTGGTTTATTTTTAATTTGATAGAAAACCCCGCGAAATATGCTGCGTTCGAAACGCGGCGAATACGCCGTGTATATAGCTCCAGCCTAAAAGTACAAACCACTAAAAATAAGTTTTCATATAATAATATTATGTTAATGATAAATATTTAATTATTATTATTTTGTTAAAAATTTAAAAATATCAAAATAAAAAATAAATTTGAAAACCACTGGAACTGGAAACCTCAAAAATGTTAAGTGATGAAAAGGTAACACGAATTGCGTCC